AGGGCAGGCTGAAATGAATAAGTGTGAAAATAAAATGAATTACAGGGTGAGGCAAAAATGTCATCCAAAGAAATGTTATTAACTCATTCATCCAGTATGAGTTGAAATCATATTTAGTTAATTTTACCATGTAAAATCTTTTTGCATTTTACCATGTTTCATGGGTCCATTCCTCAAGGTCACAATTCTATGGCCATTCTACAAATTTCAGCCTCGTCCCTTCAAGCAGACCTGCACAGGTCGGTTGAGGTTGTAAGTTCATGGTCACAGAAATTGTTCTCCTACTTGTTGTAGGGGTTGACATTATCTCAGAGATAGCCCGTAGTCATGAGATGAGGCTGGCATTTTGGACCATGTTTTCGTTTTATAGCCATAAAATCCCGACTATTGGGGCAGGGCCAATTAAACTTAGTAAAATGAAAGAACATTAAACAAGGTTTTATTATGCGAAGTAACATTTTAACAGATGCGGAATTAGTTTGGGCTACATTTTTGGCTCACTCGGTATTAGACTGCACTTTGATAGTATTTATGATGTCATATGTTGGGTAAAAGGCGATGATTTAACCTACTTTTGATGGCAAATTCCTTTTATTATGAATGAAATAGTGGCAGGTACTATTTATATTTAATGAGCCATAAAATAGTAGGTTGATCTGGCAGTTGTTAGTTGAATTCGCTATTACTACTTGTAATGGGGTTTCAAAGCCCATGGTCACCTATGTAGTTTCTTCATCCTAGGTCAAATCGACCCAAGAATGGTGTTACATGTATATTAGATGCAGCATTTATTGATTTCTGGAATCACAGCACCCCTAAGCGTAATCATAATTCCGTCGACCTACAGCATAGGCCGAGGGAAAAGAAGTAGGAAGGAAGGCATAAGTTTACTCTTTACTACTTTTACATAGACCTATGGCCTAAAGATAAGTTTGGGATCCCTTATTAAAACCAAAACCTCATGGTAGCTATAACCATATACATACTTTGCAAGTTTATCAAAAAACAGAAAAATGTTTTGAAATGGTCAATATTGATCACTTAAAACTGTAGTGCTCAATTCCAGTAGGCTGCCATCTTTTAAAATTTCACTCAGGAAGTGATGTCATCGACTCTCAACTTTGCATATAACATTAGGTAAGGAGCTATTAGAAATACTAAACCAGCTGAATATTTCTTTCAATTTGGTCTATGATTAAAGTCCTTTTGATGATCTCTTCTTTAGTTCTAAGTTGACAACTCCTGAAAATATTTTTACACTGAAGATAAGGGCTTCTTGTTTAGAAGTGATTTTGTACTTCTTTCCTATACTGTAATAGACATAGAGGTTCTTATATGAGTACCTGTGCAAGATCGTCCATTCTTGATGAGCTTTGATAATTCTTCTTTATCGAGTCGAAGACGAGATAAAGAAACATTATCAAAGCGAGTCAAGAATGGACGATATTGCACAGGTACGAGTACAAGAAAGTTTTTCTCATATGACTCTGTATTATGCCATATTTTCACCATTTTATCATAAAACTGAGTGAAAAATAGCTTCAAATTAATTGAACTTCATCTTTCAATTGTTATGACGTCATAACAATATTGAAGAAAATACATAGATACACGTGGCAACAAAGTTCCATTGTATATGTAGCAACGATCTGTCCGTTGCCATGTTGTTGATGTTTATAGACCAGTGATGTCACAAGTAAATCTCATCTTGCACGTGTGACTTTTTAGGATGAAAGATGGCAATATCTTGCATGGGGTAAAGATGGCTGTATCTTTGTTAGTCATATGAGAAAAGGTTATAACAGGTGAGAGTCGATGACATCACTTCCTGGAAGAAATCTGAAAAGATGGCAGCTTACTGGGAATGAGTACTACATTTTTAAATGATCAATATTGACCATATGAAAACATTTTCCCGTGTTTTGCTAAATATGTAAAGTATATATATGATTGTAGCTACCATATCAGGAGAAAAATAGTCTGGCAAGGAATGTTCCATTCAAAGGACTTTTCAATAGAGAAAAATCCATTCTAAATACGTTTTAAATATGTCAGGGTATCATTTTATTTAATCACAGCATGATTAAAGATAATTGTAGTCTCAGGAATCGTAAATTCACGTTTTAGTGTAGATTGGTTCTATAGTGAACGAGCATTTCAATTAGGCAATTTTTATCGAAATAGCAAAGTTAAAGTGCCCGATAAAGTATAAAATGCGCATGCGTCCAGGTGTTGATAAACTATAAATAGCGAAAATCCAGGGTTTGTCACCACAAGGTAAGCCAGGACGTGTTGAGAGAACAGCTAGTGTTGATATTGAATTTATATGTAGCCAGATAAGTTTCCTTATTGAAATTACATATGGTTATTAGCAATACTTTGTAGGTGCTAAATAATAAAATATTTAGAGTATATATGAGAGAAATTGGTCATTTCGAACCTGTTGAAAAGTTTGTGGCTCTCGGCTACACCGGGGAATTTACTTCCATGAGTACACACATAAATGTGGGGTTCCCCAAGAGGTACGCGACAAGGTGACCTGGCATCAAATGTGCGACTAAATGCTACTATCGAGAAGATAAAATAACAAATACGACAATAAGTTATAGCATGTGACAATTCCGAGCCTTCATCTCACTGAAGTATTTTGAAGTGAAAATAGGATTTTTGTTTTGATACATGGATTCAGATGAACGTGACTTTATTCTGACAACTAATCAAAACTGAACAAAATTGATTGTACGTAACAGACAATTTATTGCTTCTATGGATGTTCATCTCTCTGGTAGTAATGTACAAAGTTGTTGATTTTCTTTCTCAGAGATATTTATTTTTATTTTTGACGTTTCGTAGGATGTCCATCCTACTTCTTATTTTTATTTTTGACGTTTCGTAGGATGTCCATCCTACTTCTTCTAAGAATTTATTGTTTTACAATGTTTTGATTGGCTAAACGAATGAAACCAACAAATTATGACATGTAAAATGACAATTTTGATATGTAAAATTTAAAAGTTACAAACACAACCTCCCTATCCACTCTTTGGGAGCCCTAGTAAATTAGTAATATGTACATGCAGCAGTGGTAGTGTGCAGCTTATTATCACACTACGCTTTGTATTCTAAAGCCTGTTGTTGTGTAATAACACTGTTCACTCAACGTATGTTTTGTGTGTGGGCAGTCAACGATAATCATTGTTTTATCCCGGTTATATGCCCTCGGCAATTATAACAAAACCGTACTAAACGAAAAAACGCAAATAAGAGAAAGCTTTCACACACATGTAAAAAATGAACTAGTCTAATCCGCCAGTATAAACTCTGTGCTATACGTAGCCGGGTCAGGCGCACACTTTAAACAATTTTGCAATTCTGGCCTTATTTATGACTAGAAAAATGTTGGATCTATAAGACATACATGTAGGTCTACAAGTGCATTAATGTACCTACAATTCATATGATCAGAATAATCTGAAACGTTAGAATTGAACTCTTCAAAGAATGTATCATGCCCCAAGTACGCCGGCACGTGGGTACAAGGTGTAAGGTTTTTCATACAAAGCCCGAAGTATTGACTGAGAATATAGAGTGATCGAGTGACAATATCATAATTACACAAGGCCATAATTACACAAGGCCATATACATATTGTCAAAGGGTAAAACCCAACGCATTAAACTGTTTATTCCATAAAAATTCCAATCAGCAAAAACAATCCAATAAAATTTGAAATGAACAAAAAATGCAACAAATGTTTGGCCAAACCATTGGAGAAAATTATTATTTGCATGTACTCTGTATACAGTGGTACCTGTATCAATACCTACTACATATAACACTATTCGAAAGATCATTTACAGCAAACTCCTTTACATAAGGCACTTTCGAAACCCCCAATATGGTTGATGATAAAGAAAGATACACATGGGAAGAGTTAATTCAAATAAGATGGTATTGAATCATGTTTGTTGAAACATGATCGCAAATGTGTAATATTTCAAATATTCATTTACACTATACAATTCAAATATATAAACAAGTATTTCCTCTTATGTGTTTTACTAGGTGTTAAACATATTTATGTTTTACTGTACATACTTTACACGACCCAGTCATGTTGACATATCCATGCTCATTTCTGTAATACGCAATTATGCAACAATGAATACACAGAGTATCTAGCACTCACCCATGTAGAATATATCATGCCATCTATGGAACATATATAACTCTATCTATAAACACCATTGCATAAAATAGGGTACATCTAAATGTCGCTTTAAGTGACATCTTTTCATACACTTCACACTAAGGTCATGGCCTTTGAGGTAAAAATGACAAATGGATTATCAGATAATGCTTATCTCATTTAGATCATTTTTTTCTTTTTGGAAATCAATCATGTGACATAGCTCAATGTTTTCGTGCATTAATCTCATTAAAAAATTGCTACTTTTAGGTAAAAAATTCGGCCTAAAAAAAGTTATTGTTTTTGGATTATCCTAATCCCAAAGTAATCAAGTTTTCCTTTTTAGAGGTAGATCATTCCTTACAATAAATTGTAATTTTGCCATAAAAGCTGAAATAAAATGCTGCATTTTTGGTGAAAATTGCGTCCGAATTAGGGAAAATTGGTGAAGATGGTTGGATTAGGAACAGCTTAAGAGATAATCCATTCAACTTGATTATCATCCTACTGTCATTTATTGAAGACAAGACATGGATCTAACAGAACCTTTTGTTTTTTTGGTTAAAGTATTCTTAGAATTAAAGATATAGCCCTTTGAAAATGGCTTGCCATATCTTACGTGCTCCTTTTAAGCAACTACAGGTTACAAATTATCATCTGTATTTAATATCCTGAATGTCAGGCTGGTACACTCCCCTCAATGAAGTTGGCATGAAGTTTTGTTTAATAGCATACTAAATCATGGTGGTAAATTTATGCTGGGAGTGTTTATATCACGGGGAAAATAATTTAATTGTAATATATCTGATACCTGAGCATGGTTCATAGAGACCTCCTCCTTCAGTCGCCCCAACTGCGTATACAAAACCACTGTCCTCGTTTGCAACGATATTGTGTGTATTACCAACTCTTACATAGTCAACATCTTCTTCAACTAAACCAAGGTTTGTCTGTCCTCGAAGACGCGTGAGGTCAAAAACCTAAATTGTCGTAGTGTTGCATTGTATAAATTGTACAGGGTGAGTCAAAAATGTAACATTAACGAATGTTAATAACTAAGCCATCCAGTATTGGTTAAAAATTATATTTGGTACAATTGAACCTTGTTCAATTTTCTTTCATTCTACCAATAATTTCATTTGTCTATTTCAAATTACGAATTTATGTTTTTTTTTACAAAATATCCTCAATTATGAACGCACATGGTGTCAAGTTGTTCTGACTCCGCGCTCAAAAATACATTGTGTAATGTCATTCTTCATATCTTTTTTTCAACAATCTTTCGGGCGTAGCCAGGATTTACGAATGGAGAAGGCTTCTATTTTTCCTCGGCCAGGGTTTGTTTTATAACGCAAGGAGGATGGGGGACTCACACGGCGGAAACGGTTGGGATATGGTTTGAACAAACCAATCAAATTATGGAATATAGTACGTGCGTCATCAAATAGCTAGTAAACCTGTAAATGTGCGATTCATCGTCCGCACAAAACAAGTGAAGAATTAAATTGGAAACCCAAAATAAAAGACATGGGAAAACTTTTTGAATCCTGGAAAAAAAGAAAATTGAGTTTATTTGGAAAAGTTCACATTATAAATTCACTAGCCATTTCAAAATTTATCTATAATTTTACAATTCTAGATGTTCCAGAATGGGTGAAAAAAGAATTAAGAAAAATGATGGAAACATGTATTGTTTTAGGATTTAGTGAAAATAATAAATGTATCTGTAATAAGAAATTTAATCGTGGCAATTAATGCGAAAACTATTCATTCCGAATAGTCAAAAATCTCTGAAGATGAACAATCACTATCAAATTGTAATTTACAGTTAAAAGTTAAACCAAGTATCATATTTTATAAAAGATTATTGGGTCATATGTCAACAGGTATTTTAACCATGTAATCGATAATATTATTTCAAAACTAAATACTTGATATGTTTTGTAAATATGTTTGTTTTATTTTTGTGAATAAATATTTTAATAAAAAAAGTAAAATAGACTAATGAAACTTATATTTAATGAAAGAACAATGGAAAAGGTTCGGTTGTGCTAAATATAATTTAAAACCCATACTGGATGACGGAGGTATTAACATTTGTTTGGGTTACCTTTTTGGGCTATTATGTTCCATGTGTAAAGTTTATGTTATCTAGGTATTATCTATATTATCTAGGTATTATCTATAATTTATGTTACCTGACTAGTTGATATTACCTGACTAGTTTATGTTACCGGACTAGTTGATATTACCTGACTAGTTGACATTACCTGATTATTCGATATCACCGGACTAGTTGATATTACCTGACTAGTTGATATTACTGCAGACTGGTTGATATTACCGGACTAGTTGATATTACCGGACTAGTTGATATTACCGGACTAGTTGATATTACCTGGATTCCATGTTGTCTGGCTTCTGATCCAACGAAAGCGTAATTATTCACGACTTTAATATCCCTCCACGTGCTAGTTTGCGTCTTGGTGAGCATAAAGGCGACAACTGTTGGGTTCTCGGGGTCGGGAGAAATTCTTACGAACGATGTTCCCGTGGTCAGTCCCATTATGACGTATTCTTCCCCATTGACGGGGTCGGTCCACCCCCAAACATCGTTACTTTCTCGACTATAAGATAAATACTAACCTAAATATACTGCTCTAAATACTACATATATACTTTACATATCGTTGATGTCTTAATTAATATCCGAAATCGTTTCACGTGTTAATCCTATTAAGCATATTGTATAGCCTAATCATGTTATTGGGTAATGAATTGAATTGAAAAAAAAGTATAAGAGGAAATATTTCAAGACTTTTTGCACGACCCTCGTACATACCCCGATATCAGACCTGAAGTAAGATCAAGTTCATCCAAGGAGAGGAAAGCTACTTGGTCAACGTTAGAGCAACTCTTTGATGTACTTGACCCAGGGTAAGTCCCTGCACCTAAAAGCAACACAACACATACATGTACGAGTGTCGTCCAATAAATGCTTATAAAATTGCTCTCATTTTCTTGTTTATTAAGGACTTAAACATACATACATGTATGCCCTTAGTCTTTTGCCTTCAAAATATTTCAACTAGATTTCTTTTAAAACGTGGATATCAGAGCTCGTGTATAATTATTTATTGAACATTCCCTGTAGATACATGTAGTTATCTCGTAGCTTATACAACACAACGTTTCAAAGCTCACAAAGGAAGACAGCTTCCCTTTACCTTAAACTCAATAGCATGTGTAAAACCGAGAAATAACCCGACCTTGATTCTACCATGGGCTCTGATAGAGCCCATGATTCTACACGTCAAGGTTCGAGTTCTCTACATATTTCCCCAAAACTGACCAACGGATTATTTTTGATGTTCGTTTAGTATAATCCCTATCATATGTGTACTTACTCCCGCGCTACACGTGATTGGTCCTTCAGTTGGCATATTTCCCATAAGTTCTGGACATTCCCCAGCATCTCTACACTCTTGCCTCAGTCTGGAGAAAAAACATCGTATTTTTGGTGGTGTAACCCTTGTATTCTGATAGGTCAGAGAGCACCACGTGATCAACATATTCCAGCATGCTCCACACTTCCCTCAATGGCTTGGAAAGCCACATCAACTGGGGCGTGTGCGGGATCTTAAACTAGGCGAGAGACTTAATGAAGTGGACTTTTAAATTTATTTCCACAGTTTTGGTTGAAAGAAAACGTCTGAAAATTTGTTTCTATAAGAAATGTTGGTGAGGAGGTTGCCTCGCCCATTTCGTTCCTCGATACCAGGCTGTCGATACACACATTTAGAATACAAAATACCTTTATTTCCTACCTTGCAGATTCTATCTTTTTAGCCATCATGGTTTTCATTACTTCCCGACCAACATCGTATGTGGTTTCTTGTAGTTTGAATGCTACGTTATGCCCTTTATGACACAGTGAAGTTCCCTCGCACTGACTCCAAGGGGTGTAGTCGCACGTTTCTATAAACAGTGGCGGTGCAGCCAGGATTCAAAATGGATAAGGCAAAATTTAAGCCAGGATGTTCATGTCGTTCATAATAATAACTTTCTATTTCACTCAAAAACATCTAATTTTTACTGTAATATATTGGTGACGCATTTACTATTTGCCGCAGAGCTAGCTACGCCCATGATAAAGTACCGTACATCTCACTATGGGTACATCTTGTAATGAGGTACAACATGATGGGGTATGAAGTACAATTTGTTAGTACAATTTTTTTGTATAACCACATGAGCATGTGTAAATAATGACCCATTTAAAATTCAAGAAATCCAAATTTTCTAGGACTTAATTATCCTCCGAACGCAGCGCTCCCAGGACATTATCCTTCAGAGGGAAAGGAATTGAATGTATGATGTCTGAAGCCCTGCGTTCGGAGAATGGTCTTTATCGTACGTTATGTAATTACTTCAACACTTACCAGGCCGGGCAAATGCCCCAACCGCAAAAAGGAGAACCAATGAAATCTACAACACAAAACAGAACGTAAACATAGCTTACGCGACATGTTTAATCATTTCATTTTGAAGGGCAATATGGTGAAATATTGGACCGAGGGCCCAAGGCCCAATATTTCACTTTATTGACCTTATTGGTATTATTGGCCCGCCACTAGTGGCCCACCGCTATGACGTCACATATTGCTCAGGTCGATAAAGTAAAATAAGTGCTTTCTTAAATAGCCCTTATACCCCTAGAACAGGCCCGACAATGTGGTAACAAGGCATTAACATGACAAAATGTCACCACCTAAAACAATTTGGTCAATTTAAAGCAAGTTGGAAAATACTTTTTGACCTTAAGAAGGTTTGATTTGAACTTCTTAGAACATGTAGATGATTTTGAAAAAAAAATTCGTCAATTTGAAGCAAGTTGAAAAAACACCTCTTTGACTTTTTTTGACATTGAGAAGGTCATTGAAGGTCAAATGTAAAGTCAGATTTGAACTTCTGAGAACATGTAGATGATTTTGAAAAAAAATTAAGTAAATTTGAAGCAAGTTGAAAAATACCTTTTTGACCTTGAAAAGGTCATTGAAGGTCAAATGTCAAATCTAAAGTCAGATTTTAACTTCTGAGAACATGTAGATGATTTTGAAAAAAATTAGTCAATTTGAAGCAAGTTGAAAAAAGACCTTTTTGACCTTGAGAAGGTCATTGAAGGTCAAAGGTCAAATCTAAAGTCAGATTTGAACTTCTGAGAACTTGTAAAGTCAAATTTGAACTTCTGAATAGATGTAGATGATTTTGAAAAAAAAATTTGGTCAATTTGAAGCAAGTTGAAAACAGACCTTTTTGACCTTTTTTGACCTTGAGAAGGTCATTAAAGGTCAAATGTCAAATCTAAAGTCAGATTTGAATTTCTGAGAACATGTAGATGATTTTGAAAAAAAATTAGTCAATTTGAAGCAAATTGAAAAAAGACCTTTTTGACCTTGAGAAGGTCATTGAAGGTCAAATGTCAAATCTAAAGTCAAATCTAAAGTCATATTTGAATTTCTGAGAACATGTAGGTGATTTTGAAAAAAAAAAATAGTCAATTTGAAGCAAGATGAAAAAATACCTTTTTGACCTTTTTTGACATTGAGAAGGTCATTGAAGGTCAAATGTCAAATCTAAAGTCAGATTTGAATTTCTGAGAACATGTAGATGATTTTGAAAAAAAAATTTAGTCAATTTATAGCAAGTTGAAAAAAGACCTTTTTGACCTTTTTTGACTTTGAGAAGGTCATTGAAGGTCAAATATCAAATCTTAAGTCAAATCTAAAGTCAGATTTGAATTCCTGAGAACACGTAGATGATTTTGAAAATTTTTTTTAGTCAATTTGAAGCAAGTTGAAAACAGACCTTTTTGACCTTTTTTGACCTTGAGAAGGTCATTGAAGGTCAAATGTCAAATCTTAAGTCAAATCTTAAGTAAGATTTGAATTTCTGAGAACACGTAGATGATTTTGAAAAAAAAATTTAGTCAATTTAAAGCAAGTTGAAAACAGACCTTTTTGACCTGGAGGAGGTCATTGAAGGTCAAATGTCAAATCTAAAGTCAGATTTGAAGGTCAAATGTCAAATCTAAAGTCAGATTTGAATTTCTGAGAACATGTAGATGATTTTGAAAAAGAATTTAGTCCATGTGAAGCAAGTTGAAAAAAGGCCTTTTTGACCTTGAGAAGGTCATTGAAGGTCAAATCTAAAGTCAGATTTGAACTTCTGAGAACATGTAGATGATTTAGAAAAAAATTGAAGTCAGTCTAAACAGTATTTGTTAAGTTATAGGAAGTTGTAAGAAATTGTTACAGACGCCGGACGCCAACCTCCAACCACCAACCGCCGGACGCCAACCGCCGTCGCAAAAAACGGAGACCATAACAATATGTCACCACTTTTGGTGGTGACATAATAATTGAGGTTCAAGTTACAAAAATGGCTATTTAAATTGAAAAATGATGCGCCTTGGAAAGTGAAGTGTGTGCGGAACAGTAATTCCAGTGAGTCGAAATATTACACGCTCACGTACAGATTCTTTTAGAAACGTGATGATTTTAGACGTCTGTTCCTACTTACCATAGTATTGGAAGTGCTTAAAAATCAGATGTTAGAATCTCAAGTTAGATGCAACTTTCTAATCTTATCAAGGCCATAAATTTTTAAATATGTGTCATAAATTTGAAAATACAAAAATGGCCGTATCTTTTTAATCATAGCTACAAGTAGGTCGTGTGTTACGAGCGTGTGCGTACTGTAAAACCAACACATGCGTACATGGATGTAGCCAAGCATGGAGCAGGCGAGGCAACGAGGTAAGTGCCTCACCAAAACTTTACATATATATACATCTTTCATTTTTTACGAAGACATTGGAAATCACAGTCCACACATAACACAATATTCCTAGATACGCGCTGATTGGCCAGCGGCACTGGCAATTGACACCTAATGGTGGGTCGGGTATAGTATTGCCCCAGTGCATGGGATATAGACATAGCACTTCGCTCCAGGAGTAGATTTGAAGTGCATATTCTCGATAATAGGGATTTTGACTACTTGATCTGTTACTATTGCTCCCAGTGTGAGGAAATTGACTCCGTAGGTTGCTCCCGGAATAGGAATTTTCCCTGGAGAAATTTTACAGCTCATTTTTTGTTTTCAAAATCCCTATAAATGGTGCATAATTTTGAACAATTTGCACCAGCTGCGTTCTCTCTATGAAGTTTCACTGTTTTATGATATGTTAATGACTTGGTAGATAAGACAAGCCTTCGCGTGGTCATATATCATGATAATGAAGTCAGGGTTTTGGCTCAGGGTCAGTGGTTACATGTAGGTGAGGCTTGAGACGATAGTCGATGCTGGCAGCTGAGAGTCCTACAGTATGGTGCACTGAAAGTTCACATCATGAGAAAGCATGGCCTTCCTTTCTGATACTCATAGCATCTTTCTGTTTCACCCGAAACATGCTCTGATATTATGCAATGGGATGAAAGATCTGAAAAATCCTCAATTTTGGGCTCTCCTGGATCGCCAAATCAAGCTCATTATATCATGGCGTCTCAGGGCTGAGGAGAAATGAGATGTCATGGTTTATCATGATGATGACCTTCTATTAGCTTCACACTAGTATGCATTTCTGGATGAAGACAGAAAGATGTGATGAGTATCAGAATGGAAAGTTCACGTGTTTATATTAAGAAACTTATATTTACAAAAAGGGACTAAATGAAAGCGTGGGATGGAACAACACACGACCAACACGAAAAATAGGAAATACCAATATCCCAGATGCGAGTAGAAATAATCGTGATTTATGTCACAATTCAGTCAAACTGATGTCATATTTGTAATCTACATGTAAAATTACATTTAGAAATGTGGTTTTGAAAAGAGTTTATCAACTTTGAAAATTTAATTTTCTTTGAAAATTCGACTTCTAGGTCGGGGAGATTCCCCATGGACTCCATGTTGTATAACCACAAAAAGTGAAATATTTTTTCTTGGTTGGGCAGATAATATTTTCTTTTACTGGACATGTTTTAATTTGTATATAACTATCAGATACTTAAGAATAATATGAAAAGTGAACCGACAACTGTTGATTTTATACTGGTACCCGATTTTTGTAACATTTTTACATTGTTACCTACATGTAACATAATATAAGTGTTTTCTTTTATATGTAGTCTAGTTGTCATTTTAATGATTTCTGTTAAACCGCAACATATACCCACTAGGGTGTCTAGCGGCTTGTTTTTATAGTGTATATTATATAAGAATTATGAAATAAATAATTGAATTGAATTGAATTGAAATAAAACTGATGAATATTAAAGTTAAGCTGAACCTTCGTAATACCCTGCCATGTTAATTCCCCCGAATCAGCCACCTGGTGGCGAAACTGGTAACTACCAACTCGCATCTGAGTAACTGGAGGAAATAAGGAAAAAATGTTGAATATGCTCTTCTTAAACATCTATGACTATATATAAAACTGTAATGTGAAATACTAATGTCTCTATGACTGTATATAAAACTGTGACGTGAAAAACTAATGTTCACCATGAAAGGATACTTTCATAGAGTTATTCCTGACAAATAATTCATTTTAATAGGTCATTATTAGTGTTGAAAAGGAAATTATCCTGAAAAAAATAAAATCATATTGATAATTTAAAAAATCTGAGAATTCTGTTTGTAAACATTACTCCATATGATACTGTATATGATACTGTATATGATACTGTCATGAGTCTGGCTATTATATTCCAATTTCGTTATTCTTAATATAAATCAATATTCAAGTTCTGCTTTATATATTTAACATTCCATCATAATAATCCAATTTTTGCAGTTTTTTCGAGAACGAGTTTTGCTAAATGTTTTGAAAATAACAGTGCAGTAGCCTTCATTATGTCAGCTTGATCATGAAGTCTTTGCTGTTTTACATTCCGCCAACTCCAGTCCAATATTATGTGTTTTATGTTGTCAAGTTTCAGAGCATCTGAAAGAAAAAAGAATACAAGGCATTAACTTTGAAAATGTCACCACCTGTCATTTGTTACAGACGCCGAATGACAGATGCCAGGCGCAAACCGCCGTTACAAAATATGTAGATCATAACAATAAACCACAACTTTTGGAAGTGACATAACAATACTATAGTTCATGAATTCACATTGTGCAATTTGACTAGAATCTCACGAAATGATTGGAAATGTCTGATTTTGATTGGGTTTGCTTTGGGTTAACCTAAGGTGTAAATGTAAATTCTAATAAAGCTAGTGAATGTATTTTTTGTTCTAAACGTCTTCTGCTTGTTAACTACACTGCCGAACTTGATGTAAATGTACATCACTCAAAGATAAATAAACAAGTGTCACTACCACAAGCAATGTGTTACAGACAACGAACACCAACTTTAAATTATAAAATATTCAAGAAATATATTTTGACCTGAAATGTAAAAATGCTATTCCATCAACCTTCCTTACTCCTACCTTTTTCTATGAGAGTGGCTATTCTGTCAGGTGTCCCTACTCCTATGTGAGTCATTTGCTCAGAAAGCTGTTTTACTTGTTCTTTCACTTTGATGTGTTTTGCAAATAATTTAATAACTTTGCATTTATCTCCTTTAAAGTCAGCCACTAGTCTGGAAAACAGTTATAACAAGACTAAATGTAACCTGTAAAAATGTAACATGTAAAATTACAAAATGTAATATGTGTAAAATCACAAAATGTGATATGTGTAAAATCACAAAATGTAATATGTGTAACATCTAAAATGTAACTTGACAAAATGTAACATGTAAAATCAAAAAATGTAACATGTAAAATCACAAAATGTAATATGTGTAACATCTTAGTTGTAACCTGACAAAATGTAACATGTAAATTGTGACATGACAAAATGTAACATGTAAAATGTAACATCTAAAATGTAACATGTAAAATGTAACATCTAAAATGTAACATGTAAAATGTAACATCTAAAATGTAACATGTAAAATGTGACATGACAAAATGTAACATGTAAAATGTAAAATGTAACCTGACAAAATGTAACCTGACAAAATGTAACATGTAAAATGTAACATGTAAAATGTAACATGTAAAATGTAACATGTAAAATGTAACATGTAAAATGTAACATGACAAAATGTAACATGTAAAATGTAACATGTAAAATGTAACATCTAAAATGTAACATGTAAAATGTAACATGACAAAATGTAACATGTAAAATGTAACATCTAAAATGTAACATCTAAAATGTAACATCTAAAATGTAACATGTAAAATGTAACATGACAAATGTAACATGTAAAATGTAACATGACAAAATGAAAACGCAAATTGACAAAATGTAACCACCTGGCAGCCTGGTGAGTTATTTCAGATGTTATATACAAAATGTGTAACACTTTGTTACATATGACATTTACTAATTGTTGTTGCTATATTACTTTAACATGTAATACCTGTTCAAATCTGCAGCTCTTATCCCAGCGCTTGTTATGATCAAAACCATAGGTGAACCCTTGACTTTCTTTTCATTGTATTTCTGCACCATTTTTGCCCATTTTGGCATGAGCGTCCTTAGGAATGATACAGGGGTATGCGTCAGGTCATTACACTCACTGTAATATTTACCTGAAAATAAGAACAATTTTGTTGATAACTGAATTGTATAATATAAATTCAGTGTTCAATATAATTTTTTGGCCATTTCCAATTTTGGTACCTATTTTGCTGGCAGATATTAGTGACAAACATGCAAAAAGGACTGGAAAACAAAATTTTAATATCTCAGACAATCTGTATTACAATTTACAAGGCATTGACATGCAAAATGCTGCCATATATTACAGATGCCAAACGTTGAACATCAACCTCCGACTGACGCCACAAAAAGGTTGAAGACTATAACAAAACAATTTGATGGTGACATAATAACGTTGTCATTCATTCATGTTTATTTGTAAGGGGGTTTTCAACTAAATTTCAAATTAAAAAACTTTCAATTACACTGAGGTCCCAAACTAAAGCAGGCATCCAATTAACCTCTGTTTATCTCATCAACTGCAAACAGTAACAAAAGTGTTACGATTGTTACTAGAGGTGTCAAGTATTAACCGGTTAACCGGTTAACCGCCGATAATGCCTTGACCGGTCTGAGTTTTTATGGGCGGTTAGTTGACCGTGTATAATTCTGTTATTTCCCGCGTTTATTTTGCATGCTAATCCGTTTGGTTTTATGGTGTCAGTTTCATGTGAGCTACTCATACATGTCATAAGTCCCATAACTCCTTACAAACATCCAATCAGCAACTTTAATCCCTGCCACATTGCTTTCCCGCGCTTACTTTGCATTTTAATCTGTTTGTTTTTCAAGCGTCAGTTTCATGTGAGCTACTCATACATGTGATAGGTCCGATAATTCATTACAAACATCCAATCAGCAACTTTAATCCCTGCCACATTGCTTTCCCGCGCTTACTTTATAGAATAGCGTAAAGCTTGACGAGAAATAAAGCTTTTCCAATTTTTTCAACTTTCAAGATCGAAGATGAAGATTTCATTTGAAATTAAAAGTTCAAATTTCCCGCCGGTTAACCGACTTTAACCGGTAAAAACCCCCGGTTAACCGGTTAATGCTAAAGCAGTTAATTGACACCACTAATTGTTACAGATATCAGATGCTAGTCTCAAATAATGGTGCTTTAGAAATACTTAAAGGTGCAACAATTAGTGCAGGGGGGCCATTCAAGGATCATCGACCAGTCTCAAAATATATTTAAGTTTGGATATTTCATCAAGACTAACATGTATTTTCATCATCAACAAAGAAACACCCTAGATAAATATTATTTCAGCTGATATTCCTCTTGAAATGTTTTGGGTCTTAAAAATTAATAAGTGGGACTCCCTTTATAGAAGATTTGAACTGCATTTACACTTCTTAATGCTGAAATTGATAGTTTATACATACATTTTAAGAAAAAAGGATGTCAAAGAAGGTGTTCAAGGGTTCCGATAAGCATCCCGTATAAAAACAATATGGCGGCTCCAGGCGAATCAACTGGATCAGTCAATTTTTAAGAAATAAGGGGAGTTCTGTAAAATCCAGTTTATTGAAATTGTCTTTGAGATAAAGTAATCCATTTATAATGATTTTGAAAACGTTATCCAAAGAGTGATTGCGTTCAAAGAATACATGTACAACAGCCAATATAAATCCTTGTATTAGAACTGCTTTGTTTCATTTGTAGGATATTTCATATGCCAAGCTGTGTGCTATTACGTTATGGGGAAATTTAGATGCCAATTTTTCCTTATTATACACAAATAGAAGATCCTGAAACTTCACCCATAAATGTGGAATTGATTTGTCAAAATAAAAATCACCCTTTTATAAATGTGTGATGATCTATCATATACTTATGCTATATAACAGTTAGAGGTGTTGATTGTTGAAACAACGACCTCGAACCTGTGAACCCTTGAGTATTATTCCGGTATCGGGCCTTTTATACTAAACGGTGAGCAACACCAGAAACGAGCGTTCGATTTGCTAAACGATATGCGTCACCCTTTAAGCCAAATATTGACCTGATAGCGTAGAAAAAATAAAAAATTTCGAATTTTCTCTCTTTTGCCCCTTTAACAACTAAAATAAAATACAATAAATGGCAAAATCCACATAAATGAAAATCCATTTTCAGATGACATTTCACATTTTGAGACGATATTTCAAATAACAATTTCAGGACCATATTTCACATAATACAACATTATTAATGAAGTCCCTTACCATCTTTTAAATCCAGAGTCTCTCTTTCAATAGCCGTCAAAGTCTTCGCCCAATGCTTCTCAAGAGCATCTAGAAACTGTTGGATTGTTGCAGGATCTGCACCTTTTTCATCTAGCTCAGCTGTGATGGTTTTCTGCGTAGAAATTGGGAATGAATGAACTATATAAGCTGCAGCTGTTTAAAACAAACTTAATGAAAATGAAGTGATAGCTAACCAGACGGTTAGAATGGTCGGAAGGCTCGGGTTGGGTCAGAAGTTAGAACAGAACTGGAGATATTGTAATTTTATTTGTGTATATAAATGAAAATGATGGTGCCAAAAGGCGCCTTAATCGTCCTGAAAGGTATGGAGCCTATTGTCATGAAAGAAGAGTTAATATAATTGGATGAAAAACTGTTAAACTATATATCTCAAGTAAACTTGTACTTTTTTCCTTTTTTTCTTTTTCTTTTTAGGTTTTATATCTTCATTTTCAGCATTATCATCATCATCACTTCCTGACTCATCCACCATTCTCTTCTTTCCTTTAATCTGCTCCTCTTTTGTGATAGGCTCAGTGTCTGGAGGGGATGGGACATTTTCCTCTGGAATCAAATATGGGAAAGATGGTATACTACATGTACATGTAGTAACTGGAATCAGCATGTGGATATTGTTCCAGGTTCAGTCATCAATCGATATCAACAAGTTCCTGTGTAATTTAATCTATGTCTACACAAAACTTACTCGAGTCTCAGTGGCCATAGCATATGGTAACACAAAACACAAGGACCTGAGGCGCATCCTGGCAGCTGTAGTAAAACAAGCCACATACTGGTCATGAAAGGTTGATCTACTGTGCAATGTGAGAGGATCGAACACAGAACCTTTCACACCATGCTCTACATGTACCACAGAGCCAACAGTACCCCCATAAATGTGGGTTCGGTTTGACTTTGATAAGGCAAACCTAAAGTTTAGCTATCACAAATGCACAGATAGCAGCATTTTTCTATGAAATACATCCTAATTGTAGGATGTATTTTCTTAGAAAAATTCTGCCATCTGTGCACAAATGTCAGAAAACAGAAAAAGGCAAAACACCCCAACATCCATGGGGGTAGCCAACAGGGAAGCAGCTAACCATGCCACTAGAGCTGAACTTGCTACCGAGGTTCATTTGACATTGCAGTAGAGCTCTAGTCTACAGTTCGGGACATAAATAAATGACAGGTGGATTTGCTGAAGTGAGAATTTCCCATGTTAAAAATAAGAAAATTTACAAGAGGCCATACATCAGTGGATGAGATTATACAAAATGTGAAATATACAAATTTTAAGGGATATATATCTAGACAATATTGGAAATTATGGGCTTTCAGACGACCATAATTAGGAAATGGTGATCGAAAATCGACCTGTCATTTAATTTTGTCCCCAACTGTACATGTAACTCTTTACTTTGAATCATTCAATCAATTTCAATTGATTCGAAACAAACCAGACAATCATTTTTGGACTGATAGTTGTTTATGAAATATACCCATTCTGTTTAGGGAACGCTGACCATCTTATACATTGATTAACGCTATAATTACCAGATTCTGAGTTCCGATCTGGTCCCTCGTCTGCATTTTGTAACCACCATTCGTCTTCTTCGAGATCGTCAGCCATGCTTTTAGTTCGCTGTAGCGATTTCGGTTTCTAGCCGGAAGTAGGATATTTTATGTTCTTCCGTAGAAAATGGAAACAAAATAAGCGCGGATTCAAATTTCTCAAAACAAATGACGATTCTGTGTGTGCAGGTCAAGTAAATCACAAAGTAGGTGCAATTTCTTGTTAAACAATACTCAATAGTTAAGCTGGAAGCGATCTAAAATAAGAATTTGAACATTTCGACTTGAAATAAATTTTATTTTTTATATTTTTTTATTTTAGCCTAGAATTTAGGCTAGAGTCAGTACGTCTATTTCCAAACACCCCCATCAAAAAATGTAGTTAGCTTGGCTGTACTGCACATCTATGCTATGATTCTATATATATTATGTGTATTATCCACTGTAGAATGCATTTGCAGAAAAAATTACAAAAAATTGTAAAAAATATCTGGGTTATTCCATTTTTACTACAAGGTATTTTAGGGGGGTAATTCCGAACAGGAGTTTTTTTGGGGGGTAAATCCGAACACTTGCATGGGGGTAATTCCAAACACTTAACTTAAACTTAATTGTTTTAATTATTAGATTGATGGTATATCATTATATGATACCCTTAACTTATGATACTGGATCCTGTCACCCCTGCATATCAAGAAACCCAAATTTAAATCATTTATTACTGATGTAACGACCCAAGGTGTTGTGTTGGGGGTTGTGCAGTTTCGTGGGGGTTGATTTGATAATAAAGGTCAAACAAAACATTTAGGTTTGAGGTCAACAATAATCAGCATTACTATATTGTTTAATTATAAGTCATAAGGTACATGAACACGTTACAAAACAACAAGAAATGCATACAAGTACAACTCCTGTAGCCTCAATACTAATTAAATCTAAGTACAATACCTGGACTGATAGCTTACAATTATCTCACACAATAATGTCAAAGAAATCATGTGTTCAAAGTACCTGTAAATAATGCATTGATAACTCACCCCAAAACAACCAAGTGCCTGCGACTTAAGTAAATATCCAAGATGGTGACAAATATATATCCGACTAATTGATAAACTGAACTCCTTAATTGATTCCTTAATTGATTCCTAGTCCAAATATCCACAAAGACTGTACGAGAGCTGAAGACCTTTACCCAAGCGAGCCAGGAGCGAGACTGAGGTCCTGAGGGTGAACATTTACTTATATACCCCTGAGACCCCAAGTGCAGCTTGTACAGAGGGACCAAGACACTGAAGCCACTGATTGGTTAAATTGAACACTAAAATACATCCCTAAAACTGACCATGACAAATTATGGGCCAATGATTGGTTAAGTGACTGAAACAAATGTTAGAATGTAACTTGTACTGAGAATATTCCATAGTAAAAGACTGCTTGCACCAAAACTCAAGTGGACTGAACATGACCAGACTTTGAAGTGATTGGTTGAAAGATACAATGGAAGTGTGCCTCCTGTCTAAAGACCACCAGCCTCTATGAAACCAAGAACTAAGACTAGATACTGATACATGATTGGTTTACAAATGACTATTAAGTCTGACCACTATATGAAGACCTTCAGCCTTTATGTAAATGCAGAGATAACTGAGAAATTATACATCCTAAGACCCAAATCCGTTACACCACCCCCCACCAATGAAAAATAAGATCGTCCTCGATCTTCAAGTAACATCAAAACAATATAATAATATTAAAGTAACGGATTTGACAAATACATCTATTTACATACAAAAACAAAATCAAAATACAATGATATTTTAACATTTGTAATCATGACAGATCTCACCTCCCCTAACTTGGACGAATATACTTTATGTAAATAATCCTAGTTGACAACCACTATCTGTAATGCTCAAGATTTTACTGATCCAAGATTGCCAAAATATAAAGTATCAAAGTACAACTTGATATATAAACGGTCAATTCAATAGAGACCATCAGCATTTTAAATGCAAATTATACAATAGCATGCAATTGATAATTATATAAAACACAAACATCTTAAATTGCCAATATAATCTCTCAATGAAATAAATGAATTGCAAAATTGAAATAAAAATGACAACAGTTTCAAGTAAAACCCTTTTGTTAACATTACGAAGAATATGACCCTATAACTGAGTTGGTAAATACAATAACAAATCATAGTAAATTCCATAGTAAATTTGGCCTTCAAAATTATCATCTCAAAGCAATTGTTACATAAAGTAAATCTAAATTTCCATAACTAAACAATCCGTGTAAAGATGACCAATAAATTACCATAAGTAAATAAACATGGCCTGAAACTGAACCATCATTGTACAGTTACTAGTATTCACAGTATAAACATGATGAACTGTCTCTCAGGGTCAAGAGGTCACATGGCTGGTATCTGGTACTGCATCAACAACATTAGAAGCACTGAACATATTTGATAGTATCTTGTGTCAAGTCTCAGCAACTCCAATCTTTGTTGCATATTATTGTGGTAATCTCATATGTAATCCAATGTTTTAATCCAAATCATAGGCACATATCCAATATTATATGTGGGTGGAGCCACAAAATCACATGGGTTCCGATATTGCGTGTCGATGTATCATAATCTCACTGTTCTCTCATATCCATAATCATTAATATAAATGACAATTACGCATTCTGTAATCCGGTCCACATGGTCACTGGGTAGGTTGCTTTAAAACCAAAAGGTATCACACTTCAGCGTTCATTTTGCAACACACTGTAAATGAGTGTCAATTCCATTTTGGTATAAAAATAATCCATCTGATCAGCTGCAAATGTTCTTGAATCATGTTTCACAAGGCATTTCAGTTCGTTAATTCAATTTGATTGTTCTTTGTGCTTCAGTCATCTGCGTTCATTACGTAATAAACTGCTTCACAAAATGATGACACAATAATCATTGATATATTGTGTCATAAATGTATATTCAGCATCAAGCGTTCATTGTGTCACTAAGTAACAGAGTGACATCTCCTGCATAAATTGTTCATCTTTAGTACAGCTCCATCATTAATTGTTCATCTTTAGAGATTAAGATACTATGTTGTTCAACCATGAAGTCCAATTGTTCATCCGCCCAGGTATGTTTTCTGCTTCGGGATTAGTAATGTTAATAATTGTTAATGTATTAGTAGATTAGTAACAATTACAAACTATTTACTTTACATGCTCTATCAAATAATTAATGTAAAACTTATGAGTACATTATGATTGTTCACCACTAGGCCTAATTTGCAATTACTCTAAATAAAAGTATGACTATTCTATGAGGGCCCTTTACCTAATTATTTATGCATGCATGCATACTATCTATAACAAACATATGCCAAAAATACTCTGTTTTTTAATTCGTAAAAAAAGTTACTATGAGTTTCAGAAAATTTAAGAAAAGCAGTACCATGCCATCAGCTGATCAGACTGAAAAGCGGTGATACAACGCTTGACCAAAACAATAGATAATTGTTTTCATAAATGAAATTCCAGAACAAAGCAAACTATTCTAGTATCCAATTACTTTCATAAAAAACATTTAATTAATTTTAATTTAACATGCTGTACCCTACATTAAACCTTTATATAACATAATATACCCACTAATGTCTGTATACATTGTTTTACCATGAAGCATATTGAGGTGCCTCCCTCTCTAATACTTGATCTCTGTCTTACTTTTACAAGAATTATAAGAATATAACTGAAACTAATTTTGACCTTTACTCTTCCTATCAACATACTTTATTAAGAACTACTACTTTTACTCTTTTTTATTGCATTAGAATTCCCACTTGCATTGCATTACTTGAACTAAACCTTTTCTACTTTACTTATCTTGCATCAAACAGATTTTAGTTTCATTACACACCTATAAGTCCCTAATAATCATAATCCATTCTACAATTGTAGTAATTTGAATAATTAATGTTCCATAACATTAAAGCAAATTTTATCACCAACTAATGAACCTCGCCCTACCCATTAAAAGTTTATATGGACTAAATCAATTAGTAAGCTACAAAAATTACCTATTACCTTTCGAATATTTTACCAGGGTTGCCTTTTGATATAACTTTCTTAGTGGTGCACACACTTCATTGAATCAAATAGGATTGTATGATAGAGTACATGTGTTATTAAAGCACAAAGATGCTTAACTGTTTGTGAATTACCACATGAATCAACTGTCTGACTAACTGACTAACTACCTGAATTGGTTTCTACACTTGAATTTCTGTGTCTCATCAAAGTGAATGAGATCACCAGTGTGCAACTGGCACATATCTGGCTTAAACTTTATTGGTAAACTAAATCAACACTAATTCTGATTGTTCTGCTTGATTATTCTGCCTATCTGCTGTATATATTTCTGCTGCTGTTTACTGCTTTTAATCTGTTTATTCTAACTAACTGTCGGCTGTCGGCTGTCTGTTCTGCTCTGATCTGATTCTACTAAAAAAAAGGTGGCCACCTCTCATCTTTATGAGTTACACATGTACTAATATCATTCACATGTATCCTTTGACAATCCCTGGGAGATCCTGAACAAATCTCAACTTTCAATGAATATCAATTACCATTCCCTTTACCATTAATTTTCAATCCATACATGCTTAATTAATTTCTGCACATTTATTAAGTCATTAAGGGCACACATATCGATTATATCATATTTTGATTTATTCAGGTACTCAATGATATCCCTTGTTACCTGATACCACCAAGGGGAGGGGGCTGTATGTGATTTACACATTTCTGTTTATTTGTCTTCTGGAAACCCAAACAAAAACCAAATCACCATTCCCACAGACAACAGGGGGAGGGGCAATTTATGGTAGCACACTTATGTAAATTTTGATTGACAGCTCTGGTCATTTTATCTGAACAAACACACTTGTGTACTTTACTTTCATGGGATTTAGATTTGTTATACCTGGTCAATGGGTCAATGAGAGCAATGTGATCCTGATAATCACATTCATACGTATACTCTTCACAACAAATAAACCACCCTTTGAACTGGAATATGGTTCATTCATTATAAACTCTGATTATTCACACTCCATTACTTATTCATATTTCAGTCTAATCAATGCACTTTCCTTTACTTGCTCATAAACTCTAGAATGTGAATTTGATACATTTG